AAAATTTGAGAATATCGGAGCGTATCACATTTTGTGATTTAAAAATTGTTAAATTCAATTTTTGTGGACAGGGCAAGAGACAGTTAAAAAGTATCGTTGTTTGTGATTGGGGACTCGGGGAATTTTTGATATAGTTACACTATCAATGTCAGTTTTGAGAATTATTAGCGGATTAGTCATAGTGCAGAGGGTTTGACTGGGATCAGGAGTGAGGGCATTGCGTTATTTGCGTATAATTTTGGCCTATTTTGACTGAGATCATGGGTGAGCGCATTGCTTCTTTTGAGATTGTCTCTTGCGCTCATCCCTGGCTGGGATGAAGATAATATATTCTGATGGGGAAATGAAATTAGCAAGAAACACTGAATTTAAATTTAACCTTAAGTTCAAATTCCTTCAGATAATCTGACCATTCATGATAATCTTCATAGTTTAATAACTTTTTTATATCACCATCTAAAATAAAATAAAGACGGCAAAGTTTTTCTTTTGGATCCTTTATTTTTAATATTCTGAGTAAATCTGCTATAATTTTTGTTCTCAATTTTGAATCTTTAAATGGTTTAATAATTTCTTTTATTTTAATTTCATAATGCAAAGCGAGCGAGCTTGCATTAATTAATTTGATATGAACATCATTTGGTTCAGTTAAATATTCTCTAATTAATTGAGTTTCTTCTTTATCTAGTATTTAATAATATTTATGAATTTTTGGAAAATTTATTGTTGAAGCTCAGTTTTTCGACAACCCCCATGTAGAGATAATCCTAAGCTTAGCGAGAGAGGCAAAAACAACTGGTGCAATTGAGATAAGTACAAAATCCATTAGTGATTGGAATTTCGTACCGTAACTTATAAAATACCGTCGGTACTTAATTTGTACAACTGAGCCCCGACTGTATATGTACTAATTAATTACAAGTAATATCCTTGTCATCTTCTGGACAACGAACATATTCATTTTCCTTAAATATTAAAGTTAACTACTTAATTATATAATTTATACCGAATTCTCATCAGATACTTGAATGAGAATATCATACAATAATTTGCCAATTTCTTGTTTTTCTTCAATTTCTTAAATTATATTTTAGATAACATAATATTTTATTATCATAGGCATACATATGTATGTCCTAAGAACCACGGTAAACCTTAGAATTAGAAACACTAGGCTCTGAATTGTTTATCCTTTAGTAGTGAAAACAAACTTTTCAGCATCAGAATGGAATCCTAACCCTACCCAAAACTTTACGAAATGAGAACTGTTTAGCGATCCATTACAGATAATAGTCTACAACAATCATTAAACCTTCATATAAAATTCTCCACTTTTATAACTTACTTTCATATCTTTTCAAAAATTCTAAATTTTTAGCAATAAGTGTAGAGAATATGTCTTGATGAGTTGTTCGGATAATATCTAGTTGTTCGTTTATATTTGTTAATTTATCAGTCTAAATTGATTAAATATTATTCTAGAATTTATTATTCTTTAAAAATCTTTTCGCTTATCTAAGGTAGTGGTAATTATGGTCGAGTTGGTATCTTTGTCCGGCAATCTCCGTATATTCCTAATCTAATCTCTACTTTATTCAATTACCCATTATTTTTCCAATCATTCCTAGCAGGGTTTAAAAAATCGTCCAAATTTATAAAAATTTGAAAATCGTATATAGAAAAATAATATCTGATCACGACACAAATAAGCTCAACACAGAATTAGAGCATTTGAAGTGATTTATTTTTTTATAATTTAAAGAATAAATTAATGAAAAAATAACCAAATTAAATTCTGTGTCCATCATTGTGCTAAAATTTCTTTGATAATATAAAAAATTTAATTCTCCAATCCCTACAGAAGTACAATATCCCAAATCCTTATCAATTAAGGAATCTACTCTTAAAAACATCTCTTTTTTATAACTAATCCAACTATTTTCGTCAAACTTTTGATTTTTTAAAGCCTTTTTCTTATTTTTTTTATTCTTTTTTGTTTTATTTAATTTTTCTTTTGTTTCATCTATAAAATATGTTTGTGCAAGTATAGAAGCACTATAGAATATTTTTAAATTAGCATCTTCGTCTAAATTTGTTAACCCTTCAATATAATAGTCAGCTAATCTGTCCAATATTTCTGTTTGATTTAAATCTTAAAAATATTAATAATTATTTAACCTACTTTAGACAAATTAAAAAAAAACTAAAAATAAATCTTTTCCTAAACTTTACTTTGAAAAATCCATAATTTTGCTAGGGGATCTAATTTGCTAGTTGGATCTGTAACCGTATTCCGGCATGATTTTCTGCACAAGTAGTGCAGAAAAAAGATCCGAAAACCCCACTATAGTGTAGGGTTGTTGGACCGGATATTCGAAGATTTCCAACAACCCTACTATAGTGAGGTCTGGCTTTAGTTATTGATATATTTTTAATGATATGTGATTGCGGCGCAAAAGTCGCTTGGCGCAATGTTCACGGCTCAAAAGTCACAGAACCAAATCAAATATATCAACTGATAGAAAATCCAGGCTTTTTTCGGCCTTAACAACGCCCTCCTTCCCCGAGGCATGAGCTTTTGACAGTAAATCCTATCTGGGAGAAAATTACAAAAAATTCTCGACCCTATATTTTCTCAACCCTTCCTAAAATCCAAAATTGGATTTTAATTATATTAGGTTTAAGACTGAAATTCAAAATTTAGGAACACTTAAGTGGATTTAAGCATTTTTCCATCATTAAAGTATGAATTATTAGCAAATTACATACCAATATTCACTAAAAGAATTAAATCAGAATATTCATTTGGATAACTAGGAAAGTCCAATAATGGGTATTTTTTATCAGTTGCTCCAACTTCAATTCCAAATAAAAGTTGACGTAAACGTGTTTTTGCTCCATTAGTTTTTTGTAAATATTTTAAAAATTCTTCATAGATTTGTTTATTCTCATTTTTGATTTTAATTAGGTTGCTAAAAAATTAAATTGATAAATTAAATAATTATTTTAACTACACAATATATACTCCATTAATTACCTTCCCTCAAATGATTACTCCATTTCTATTAGTTACCCCCTCCAGCGAAGGTTTGAAACAATAATTACTCTCTTAAAACAAGTCATAGTTAGCTTTACTAAAACGCCCCATTATACCGCCGCAAAATTTTTTATTCCCCCGTCATTGGAACAACTTTCCACGTTGACGGAACAACTTCCTACCAACATCCCCCGTTTTCGGTAGTTTTCGGATAATTTTCGGTTTTGATATCGGTCTGGCAAAGTCTAGCTTTAATATGGCAAAGTCTAGCTTAGTAATCACTTAAAAATCTCGAAAGTTTAATATTAAAACAAACTTTGCATGATACAAACTAAACAACATTCTCATTTTATAAATATCAGAATTGTCTGAATAATCAGTAAATAATTTTTTAAATTTATCTTTATTTTGAATATTTAATACTTTTTTCCAGCGCAAAATTAAATTTTGAATGGATTTTATATTTAATTTTTTCCCTGTAGATTTGTCAATTTCAAAAGCATTCGCATTCTTTATTATATTATTTACAACCCTTTTAATTTCATTTTCTTTTTTTATTCCCATTTCTTCTTCATAAAATTTTTTAGTATTTTCACAAATATCAGCATAAATAAAAATAAAATAAAGATGTAATTCATTTTTTAAACTTTTCAAGTCGCCTTGACTATGGGATAAAATGCTTTTGTAGAGATTGACATAATCCATTGTTGAAAGAGCATCTAAATAAATTTTAAATATTAAAAAGAATTTTATATCGTTTTAAGAGGATTTAGAAATTTTCTCAACGAAGGAAAGTGTAATGGGATGTATGTGAGCTTCAGATGTGAATCGGATTTAGAGGTTACGCTCTATTCTTCGAATTACCTTAAATTACCAGATAACCTAATATCCCCCTAACATATCTAGGTTTTTTGTCTCACGCCCAGATCCCTCGTTATTACCTTAATCTCCCAGATCACCACATATCCTCAAAATCTACTTTAATCCAAGAACTCCTTAACGCTTGGTGGTGAACTACTTGATGTCTGGTAGCTCAAACACCAACAACTCAAATTCTAGTTCCAGAACCGGAATCCTAGCTTACTTTTATTATTGAGAATTTTGGAAGAACCCTAGGCCAAATATCTTCAGACGGAAATATGTTTCAAAAATTATTGGAAATTTTTCCAAAATTTTGGAAATCGGAAGGAAAAATAAGGCCGGAAATCGGAATTCCGCTTCACGCTTGGTGGGATTGTTGCGTTGTTTTGAAAAATTTGAATTACTAGAATTGAAATAACTATCGGATAACATTTTACTAAATAAAATGTTTAGTTAACCAACCAATCTTCAACAGAACAGGATGATTCATTTCCAATTCTTCCAACAGAAAATCTCCAAGTACTTTACGCATCCTCGCTTTTGTTAAAGCAAATAATTTGTTTTTATTCATATTTTCAAGGCTAATTGTTAATTTAGATTTTGTTGGAATATTTGTTGAACTGCTGCTTTCAGATTGGTTATTTTTCTGAAAATTTGAAATGTTTATTTTGTGGATAATCGTGAAATTAGACTAATGAACTAACTTTTACGTTTGTCTTAGCTCTAAATAATCATCAAAATTCCATTAATGTCTTTCTAAATTTTTATTTGGGAATTCTCTTGAAATAGAGATCCTAATGGATTGGGAATACCTATAAACTAAATTAATGATCCTCTTTACCGATTCATTATCAAATTCATCCACTATAAGCTGCTTAATTGCATTTAAATGCAATTTTGATATTCTCATACAATCATCCATGGATAGGTTAGAATTATCCGTTTCTTGTAAATCTTCTAAAGCAGGCATTTCATTAAACACCTTCAAAATAAAAAATTGCGATAACTAATTTTTTAGATTATATTTAACACCGGATTTTTGTACAAACTACCCTTCCTGATATAGTCACGGTGGGTCTGGAGTAAGGTTGGTTGGGATCGGGGTACAGACATAAAATCGGGATTTTGGAATAATGACGAGGGATTGGGGTTAAGGGTGTGATTGCGGGACCTGGATTGGCCAAAAACTAGATTGGGATTTGGAATAATGATCCCGATCCTGCCTAACTCTAGTCTTATTTTGGATATTTTTCAAATTTACTTTCCCAAAACTAACAAATAATTTTCAAATTTCCTTCGGTTTATTACCTTATTATAGGATAATAATTCCGCAACTGTATATTCTTTGTTCTTCATAACATAATGAATACGATGATATACTCCTTCTTCTTCAATTAATTTATCCATTTCTTCTTCGTTTCCTTCAAAATCAACATCTCCATATAGTGTTTTATCAAAAGAAAATAATTTTTCCTCAATAAGATCGTTAGTAATCTTCCAGTAAAGATTATTCCATTCAGAATCTTTCATTTCATAATCAAAAAATAATTTAACATAATCACTGTCTAACGCTGAAAATAATAATAAAAATTTTATTTTCCAATTCGAGTTAGGCCAAATGATTAAATATTTTTTTAAATTTATCCATATAAAAATCAGAAATGTAAGAATATAATAAACTATGACTTAAAGTTAGACACCGACTCCGAACCCGATACAAATTTTAACCTAGAATCCATCCCGAACTTTTCTACCCCAACGTGTCGGAATTCAACCCTACTATGTATGTTGTTGGTTCTGGACAGAACCGAACCGAAGGACCGAGGATTTTTCGGTTCGGTTTCAAATATCCGAAGAATTACCAGGAACCGACAACTCTATCTACGCGGATTCGTACCCACAACTTCTTATATTAAAAAAACAATATCAAAGGATGCGGAAAAATAAATTTTTTAAATTGGCAAATACTTACAACATTTTTCAATTGTTAATGGAATATTAAAAAATAATAAAATGTATAATGTAATAAAATTTATAAACATTATGAACTAAATAAAATGTTGAGAATTAGTAATCAAACAAAAATTATAGGATTAGTGTGTAGAAGGGGGAGGGTGATTTATAGTGTGAAAATGACCTCCCGCGGTTTATTCATAGTTAGAAATGGACTGGTAATAACGTCTGCACTCTGTTCGAATTTTTAGGTCTTTCGTTCAGTGAATTTATTCAAAAATTATCTTCTTAGATTTTAAGGCGGGAATCCAATCGTCACAAAAGAAATGTTTTTTATGTCTAATGAATTTATATTTGAATAAAAATTTGCAAAATAGGAACAATATTGAGAGAGAAATTAATAATAAATTAATAAATTAAATAATAATTTATATAATTTAATAAATAAATTAATTAATAATAGCTAAATAAATTAAAAAGCAAATTAATAAATCAATTGAGATATATTGGCAATCAGTAAGCAATGGCAATCGTCGTTGTGAAGAGCAATCGAGAATCGAGTGAAGGCAATCGAAAATCGACGATTAACAGACAAAAATTAATAAGTAAAAAAAGAGAATAGCTTTAAAGGAAGAAGAGTGAGAGAGAGGTAGAGAGAGTGAGAGAGAGAGAGAGAGAGAAAGAGAGGAGAGAGAGAGAGAGTGAGTGAAAAGAAAATTTTGAAATATTTATTTAAACAGGAAATCACTCATAATCTCAGACTTATTTAAATGTTTTAACAAACATACGTTTTTTGTTTAGAGGATCCTGACATTTAGTTTTGGGATATTTAACGGTATTAGTGAAATAAACTGTTTGATTTTTTGTTTTACTTTTAGATAAGCCTTCTTCTATCTGTTTATCCGATTCTTTCTGATTTTGTTTTAATTTTTGTATTTTCTTAAAAATAATTTTGATAAAAAATTAATTCTTAAACAAATAATGCGTATTAATATAAAATTAAATGTTTAGCAAAGCCTGCATAAGCACCAGGGATATATCCGTTAGAGAAAAATTTCGGAGTTAGTTTCGGGTCGAGCTTTCAAAATTTTCTTTGGATAGGATTTGGAGCAAGTCAGTTAAAGATCTTGTATCAAAGTTAACAAGAAAATTAGCAGAGGAAACTAGGTTTGATGTATAAATGCAATTTTCCCATGCTTTTGCGTTTGCTTAGTCTGTTAATAATTTTTTGAAAGAACTAGCAATGGTTGTTTGTTGTTATCACTGATTGTTATCATTTCAAAGTTAAGGTTTTTGACAAGGTGACCATAAGCAAATTTAAATTGCTTATTTAATTTTTTATATTTTAATAGTTAATTGCAGTTAACCTGTCTGTTATTTAAAAATTTAATATTTATAAAGCCATAATTAAACAAATTTTGAAGTCTTTGATATACTATACTATCAGGTTCTGCTTCTATAATAAAATATTTACTAAATTAATTTTAACATTTTAAATACCTTCAATAATCTCTTGAAATCCCTCATATTTTTCCTTAATTATTTCAATAATTTTATAGTGTCCTTTTGCCAATTGTTTTATTTGATCTTCAAAATTAATTAAAGGTTCTTGTATAATTATTAGTTTTGTGTTAATCTTATCAAATAAATCCTTAATTTTCTGATTATCATCATTTGCAGCATTTCATTTTGCCGAAGCGAATAAAGAATATTTAGATAATGAGCGCCGAAAACCTAAAAATATCAATGAAAGACTCATAATTATTACTGCTCCTAGTATATCACGGAAAAGGATCTCTCGGTGCTTAATAAAAGATCCAGAACTTTTAAGAACCAGGTATATAATTCTTAAGAACTAGGTCTACAATGATAAAATGATAACACAATGGTCGTTTACAAATCACCAAAAGGAGGCATGACCTCTCAGAAAAGGGGCAAAAATGTCGGAAGATTAAATTAGGCATCGAAGCTTGCCCAAAAAAGATTTGAATAGGCAGATTTGCTAAAAATGGGCAGGATAAATTTTGAGCTTACGTGAGCCAAATTTCTCCCATTATCAGCACCGCAATCAAAAATTCAGAGAAAAACATGGGCAAAATTTGGCAATGCTGAAAAATAGGAGAAAAAAAAGGCGAAGAGATAAAAAAGGGGAACCCCCCAAAAAACGGGGCAAAAGGACCACATTTTAACAAATAAGTTTATCTAATCATGGTAGCCATATCTGTTATTTTCCTCAATTTTAATTTAAAACAGACCTCTGCATATTCCTTCTCTTGATCAATTAAATAATCACAAAATAAAAGAAATATTTCTCTATAATTATTAAACCATTCTTCTTTTAACCATTTATTCCCTTTATCATTGAAAAGTTTATCAACGGATATTATTTGTGTAAAAATATTAACTATATAGCTAAATTTTATTTCCGTTTCATCATTTTCAATAGTTAATAATTCAATATAAATGTAATTTAAATGTTCAATTAAATCTTCCTCGCTCATTTCTAAATATTTTGTATAGACATTACTAAATACAATGTTTGTTTTCGATGGGTCTCAAACAGAGGTGGGTTCGGAATTCCGATCTTCCGATTTCCGACGTTTTTTTCCCTTCCGATTTCTGAAATTTTGGAAAATCTTCTGATCTCTGGCTCTTCCAAGTTCCGACACCTCTAAATGTTCCGACCCACCACTCGTCACAAAGTGGGTTCTTATAGGGCATTGGCTTCAGTTAGGACATATACTTTTAGGATTTTTGTTGAAATTTTGTTTAATTTATTTAAATGCTTCTTTTAAGTTTTGTAATTCCAAATCAACTCATTTAATAACCCAGAAAGAATTTAAATTCATTTAACTTACCAATTTTTACAAGTTTTTTAATATTCTCATATTTCTTTAATATATCTTCACTTCCATCTAGACCTCCTAATAATCTCAAAAGTCTCGATTTTGCTCCAAAAGTTGTATTCAATAAATTAACTAAATTATTAAATAATCCACCTCCTTTTTTATTTAGATTTGAAAGACTTTGCGCGTGTAGCCATTTTAATGATTGCCTAAATAAATACTTAAATTTATTTTTTAAGTTTTTTAAAATTTCAATTCAGTTTAGCGATTATAACCAGGAAACTATTTTCTTCAAAAATTAGATCTTAGATTTTCTTTTTATTTTCTGGTTTTCTAAAGGCCAAAAAAAAGATTATATATATATATATATAATTTTAAATTAATAATAAGATTCGTTATTTTAAAGATAATATAAATTTCATATTTTTATGGATGTACAAACATTGTTATTTTAAATCCCAATTATTAAAAATAGTGTTATCTTAATAAATATTATTGTATGTACTATTTTATTGTGTGACAGCTGGGTAAACTATTCTCATTTTAAAAATTAATATATTATTTTTATTTTCATTTTTTTGGCTAAAAATGATCAATCTAATTATCAATCCAGCAAACTTTAATAATATTACCAAAAAATATATTTACCTAGCACATTCTAGTTGTTCAAACTTTGAAATATTTTCATTTTCCAAATCAAAACTTTTCTTAACAATACTAATAAAAAATTCTTTTGTAAGAAAAGAACCAACAAATTTTTCTTTATCAAAATTTTTATTTATCAAATCATTCCAAATTTTATTTAATTTATTTGTTATATTTTTCCCTTCAAATTTTTTATTTAAATTTTCCCATAAATATTTAAATGAATAGGATAAACCCAAATAAATTTCGTCTTTAATTATTTGAGTTGATTCCAAAGGTGTGGATATAATTTTTGAGTAAATTTCAATCATTAAGTGGTCATTTAGTAAATCTGTTTTTAAAAAAAGTTTTGAAAGGTTTATGTGAAAAGAGATATTTAAATGTTCTATTCTATGATTTAGACGAGGATAAAGACAGGAGAATTTCTTTAACTCCTCATTATGAAACATTAGAAAAGACCCAGGCATAATTTTTCCAAGCAGAAATAACACCAGGGATACGATTTCTCCCAACGAACACTACTATTTTTCTTCTTCCGTTTTTATTTTATTAAGCTTTATTATCCGATTTTTATATTGGATCTTCGATTTTTCCGATTTTCATCTTCAGATTTTTACTATATATCCCTGTTTATACTTGCTACAAATATTCTGAATATCCGACGATTTTGTTTGTCGAATTCACGACTCACGAAAATTAAGAATTGAGAACTTACATATCTAATTAAAGTTAAACTTGATAATAGTAAGATATTCCCTACCAAATCTAAACAAGATAGGATATTTAATCTCTAATCCTTCTTGCATCCAATGGCCAATTATATTTCTCATTCTCAGTTTGCCAAAAGTTAATTCGTCTTCTCGCCTTTTATCCCCACTTACTATAGAGAATTGTCTGACAAAAGGGCGATTAGCTTTAACCATTGAATCAATCTCCTAAAAATTTCAAGCTTTTTAATTTCAAGTAGAACCTCAAGTTTGTCCTAACGATTATTAATTCCCTTAAACATCTAAAAGATGTTTATAATAGACTGTCAATAAGACGGGAGAAGAAAATGGCTGCACGTTTATTATGTAACTAATAACAAATTTTTAGCACTTTTAGTTACTTTTGTAAAGCATATAGCTATTAATTTCCTAAGGCTGAGCAGTAGGCGGCGTGGTGTAATGGCTAACACATCAGTCCGGTCTACTGAAGATGCTGGTTCGCTCCCAGCCGCCGAATAACCTTTTGCACTAGCTAAAGGAGAGAAATAGCTATAGCCAAGCTGCTTTACTCTTTGTAAGTGCTAAAATTTTTTTAACAATTTCTTATTTTTTACATTTTATACGTTGCTTCTGGTACATGTGTGTAAAATGATACCTCGGAACCTTTGATAAATAAACCTTATAATGAAGAAGATTGATTTGTTCGTTTGTGAATTTTTCTATATTTTTTTCGTCAACCTCATCTATCTTAAATGAATTTTGCCATTTTATCATTCTGATATATCGACCAGACAAATTGGCATATTCGGGCAACTGAATATCCGTTTTGTGAGAAAATAATTTAATAGTATCTTCGATAAATTCGTTAAAATCATTTATTTGTTCCTCCTCTTGAGTTGAAATTTTATTTTGAGCAGCTTTTGACATTTTCGACTTTTCAGATTTTGCTTTATTTTTATCCTGCTTATAATTGAAACAAATTCATTTGTTAAAAACACTAGTAGAATCATTTACTTTTTAGAATCCTTTATCTACATAGAATATACCCACTGACCCTATTTAACTTTATATTATTCAAGATTTACATTCCTTTACTTGATTCAAGTGTTTTCTCTCTTAATAATCATAGCCCCATTATTCCCAACTAAATTTTTTTTAATTTCCAACAAACTAGACTTCCATTTAAAAATTTAAAACACCTTTTTCTTGCTTCTAGTTTCAACTAAATTTTGTTTTCCTTTAATTAAAATATTAATTTCTTCGCGCAATGAATACATTCTCTTCAAAATTAAATAACAACCCAATCTCAAATATTCGTTTGCCCATTGACCACTTTTAACATAATTCTCATCTTTATTAAAAATTAATTTTAAATATATCTCATCAATTGCCACAGGATTGATACCTTTAATTTATTTTATAAATTGACATACACTTAAGTTTGTGAACAGAAGTTCAATCACATGGATAGTACGTAATATAGTAAATTTAATGGTCTTGATTTTTAATGACCCCGATTTAAAAGGATATGGAAGCGAACGCGCGGATATATCCGGATACGGAGAGCAAACTATTGAAGCAAGCTTCGATAGCCATACGCATTGTCAGAACAAGATAATTATTAATTACCACAATTTTTGTGTTTTTCAAAGCTGTCCATTGAAAATACATTATTATCTTCAAAAAATATTAATATAGCAAAAATTGAAATTTTAATAAACAAAGAGACTTTTGATTTGAAGTAATTCATAAATGTTGTTTAAAAATAAAAAAATGCTAAAAAATTTTAAAACAAAAAATGGTTTACGGAAAGGTTTTAGCTCTAGAATCTGATTTCTCCAGTCGGAATTAATTATAAAGGAATATACATAAAAGTAGGGGAGCTTCTCTCATCTCAGTGCTTAACAAAATTAAAAGATTGGGTAATTAAACGTGTGGATTGAAGCAGAAGCATTAGGAAAAAGGGGATAAGCAATTACAATATATTTATTAGCTTTCCTACCCCGGTTTAGCTTCCTACCCCTTCATCCCTCTTCCGTTAACGTTTTACTCTTTTTATGTTTAAATGAATTTAAAATATGTAATTAAATTTTGTAATAATAAATAATAAAAAATCTATAATGTCGGCAATAACCTTTAACTGTATAATAATTAAAGTGCATTATTGAATGAAAAAATGAAAAAAAAAATATTTTCAAATATTGATTAAATAAAATAATAAATAAAAATAAATTAAAGATTTATTAATTAAAATAATTTTAAAATCGGTAATCCTCGAACCTCGACCTCGGACCTCGGCCAAAATTTGCCCCTCGACCTCGATCTCGGCTTTTCCAGCCTCGGTGATCCTCGGTCTCGGTTTTTTCAAAAAACCTCGACCTCGACCTACTCTAATTAATACTAACCTCCACAAAAAACATTCACTGTCAAATAAAGCTTCATGCTATCGGAAATCCCTTTAGTTTTGAGTGCCGATTTATTAAATTTTGCTGTGTAAAGTAAACGTGTCATATTAAATATTGAAATAATTGTACAGATCAAAGATAATAAATACTCAGAAAATATTATATAAGTTACAGGAGGGAAGATAGGTACAGGAGGTTTTGAAGTATTATTGGACTCCATATAGTCAAATTTTAGTTTTTAATTTTATCAAATCACATGGCGAAAATTTCAAATAAACGAATTTGAATAAAATATTAATGAGGTGGGGGGAAAGAATTTTGATGCATTAATTAAAATATTTCAATAATAATTCGCAACATAATATAATTGACTAAAAAATATGTAGAGTACATTAAACTCTCACGAATACTTCACTCTCGTTGCGAGGAGACGTACTATTAGCATGCTTTATTGTATTCTTTAAAAATTTGAGATTTCGAAATTAAAAGATTATACTACAATTCCGCACTAAATAATTATAAAGATTAATTTCTTAAAGTATAAATTATAAAATTTTAATTGTTAATTGTACCTTTAAATTTTAATTGTTAAAATAGCAAACATGTAAAATTTATAAAAAATATTTTTTACTAAAATGGATAAGAGTATTTGGTGATCTAACGGGATTTAAGTATATTTGGAAGACGAAAGATGATTTAAATATATTTGATGGTCTTAAAGTGATCTAAGGGACTTATGTGGATTAAATGAGATCTAAGTGTATGTAAGGGATTAAAGCGGCGAATAAACGTTATCTACTTATATTTAAAAGGATTAATGTGGATATGAAGGAGCATATTAGGAAATTAAAATTGATTTTTGAAAAATAAAATTCACAATAAAATAAAATTAAATAATTATTTTTAATAATTTTCATTTTGTTATTTTTCCACATAACCTAATTTTTGAACTTTAATAAGATCCTTCTGTGATGAAATTATTGAAACTGTAGTTTTTTGAGTATCTTTAAATTTTCTCCAATAAAATATGCCACAAATTGCTGTTTCCAATGATACTCCTAGCAAAGCAGTGTCTCCTATGTATGTTGCGGGTGTTGTTCCTGTGATCTGAAATAATAATAATTTTTTATAACATTTTTAAACTTTCCATTAAATTAAAAAATATCTACTCCGAGGGTGTTGCACTTGAGGATATGACAAATGAGGACTTCAATTGAGGATTATAAAAAAAGAATTTTTGATCCTTGACCTTCTGAAATTCAAAAAAGTTCGCCTGCGGCACTGAATGGAGACGAATTCTTCTTTATTGGTCTCCAAGTGGGGGTAAATATAAAAATAAAATACAACAAAATACATTAGCGAAACCAAAGCAAGTTTTGACAAAAAGGACTGGATAATTTTTTAATCGAGGTTGCATACAAGATTGGGTTTCACAATATTTGTCTTTAAATTAATTTTAATTTGTTTAATTTATTCAAGAACCCCAAAGGATATATGTACTATGTATACTTTTAAAAATTGCATATTGTTTTATAATTTCGTCTCAGAATTTACAAGCATATGCAAGAAATTGGACAGGCCTAAAATGCGCTTCAGAAAGTATGCTTCAAGATTTCCAAATCTCTCGAAATTTACTGTTAAACGATTCCTCTCATAGAGCTAAAGAGATCAGTCCCTTATGAGAATATATGGAATTTATAAATTGAAGACTCAGATATGTATTGCACTTATTTTCAAAGGAAATAATTACTTAGATAATTATTCAGAGTTTTATAATTTTAATTAAAAGCTACATTATCTGTATTATTATCATACAGGCAAATACACGACACTGATTAAATATTTAGTTCAATTACCAGTTTCATAATTCAATGGAAATTCAAAAGCATAGCTTGCCCCACATAAAATATAAACCGCGATAACAACAAATATCCCTCCGATAATAAATATTCCATTTTTCTTGCCTATCAATTGATTTCCCGTTTTTAACACCAAACAACGTTCCAAACAAAGAATAAACACCAAAATACTTGAAACTCCATAATGAAGAGCATTAAATGTACTCGAAATGAAATGATAAAGAACATTAGAATATAATGGCTCGTCTCCACGAATAAATGGAGGAAAGCATTAGGCAACCTTAAAAAGCATTAGGCAACCTTATATGCCAACGATGAACTTTTTCGGTTACAACATTGGTAATTTTCGGTTAATACCCAAATTTGATTTAATATGAGCATACTAGCGAAATTTTCGGCGATTGTGCTCTCTTTAGGCAATTCTGGCATTTTCCCATTGTCAATTATTGTTTTCTCTTTAAAGATAAAGGGTGAGTATACGGGACAATTCATTTCAATTTGTGGTCCATGGCTAGCTAATGTGGGACTTATAATAGCAATAAGTGCAAAAATTGTTAGCAAATAAGGACTAGATGTCCTTAATGGACTTGCAACTCGGCTTTCACTGAATCTCACTTTTCTTGTGGGTGACCGGCTATAATTATTTGGTGAATTTTCTCTATAATTTTCGCGATTTCTATCATTATATCTGCGGTTATCTCTATTATATTCATTTCTATAATTATGACTTTTTTCCCAATAATTATTTTGATAATTTCTTCGCTCATGATTATTATATTGGCGAGCTTTATAGTTATTTCTTGCTCTATTTCGGCAATCTGCTATAACGTGTCCAGGTTTATGGCAGTAATAGCATAAGCGTCTTGAATCTCTAGACCGATTAATTGCTAGGGCTTCTACTTTTTCTGCTGAATCCACATATTGGTTATTATGAAAATTTTGGCGTTTTTGGCTCAATAATAATTCAAAATGTTCGGCAACTTCAAATGCCTTAGAATAGTCATCAGGTCTAGCAGCTTTAACTTCGAATTGAAGATCTGGCAAAAGCCGATCCAGAAATTCATCTAGCAATCGCTGCTGTATAGTATTTTCTTCATATCCAATCATTACAGAACGTACTGCGTCATTTAAACGCTGTGCGAATTCAAAAACTCTTTCTCCAGGCGCTTGTTTTATAATAGATAAGGCTTGGCGAGCTACAGTACGAGAATGACCATTTACAAATTTTTCTTGCAAAAAATCTATAGCTTCTTGCAGAGTAGCTGCTTGTGGGAATTTAGCGTCAAGTTCAGCACGAGCGCGACCTCCCAGGCATACTTTGAGACGACTTAGCTTTTGTGCTTCATTTAGAGGGGTAATTATTAAATTTAGAGCATCCATAAATCGTTGGAAAAATTTTGAGAATGAACTAGTCGGGTTACCATCATAGACTCCGACTGGTGTCATTAAACCGTTTAAGAATGGGTCTCCGATCATAATCTCAACATTTTCTCCAGTAATGGGTTTCTCAGCACCTTCCGACTCCTTTTCTGGCGGTTTGGACTTTAGATTTAGGTCAACCGATTCATTACTTCCGTGACCATTCCAGGAAAATCCGGATCCTCGCGATTCATTTTCTAAAACCTCTACTTTTGCTTCAAGACTTTCAATTTTATCAATTAATTTACGCGCATTTTTAGTAATAATTTCTGCTATTTTCTGCTCACTTTTAGATAAATTTTTCTCGACGTTTTCCATCCCTTCCTCTAGGATGTTTAGGCGTTGGATTTGTGAAATTTGTTCTTTTTCTATTTCCATATTTTTAGAGCGCAAAAAGACTAATTCATCTTTTAATTCTCTATCATCCATTTTATTTTCAATTTCCTTCATTTTTGTTTTGTTTAAATCATTATCAACTCCTAAATTAGATATTTCTTCTTTTACAATTTGTTTCAAATTTTTAAATTGATTTTCTAATTTTTCAAATTTACCATCTATTAAAGCATTTATTTTATCAATTTCAGATGAGGACGAATTTGATGGCAAATTTTGTCCTTCAGAAATTTTCGACTCGATTTTACGGAAGTTTTTGCAGACAGCCTCTTCAAAGCTGCGTAATCGAAATAATAAATTATTCCAATGACGACCTTCTTCAGGCGTAAAAAATTTATTCGCAAAATCTGATCCTGTTGTCTGTGTTTGATTTTTATCCATTTCCAAGATACTCCAGAAAATGTTTTCAGGGGCAGGAAATCCTTTATAGAGCTTTTCTGAGAGTGGAAAATCCAGTTCCTCTCTTTTTTAAAACTGAGGATTGCACCCAGCAATTTCCTCTACTTTAACCGTTGCACACAGCAGGAGGATAGAGCACCAAGCAGTCTACCTCGTTTTTTAAATTAATTAATTACGTGGGGTATTTTCCTCCCACAATTCCTCTCAACACTCTTTAGAACAAGCTCTCTTCAGGATCAAAATATCCTTCAAACAAATTCTTTTTCTCTCAAGGCTTTTCACCCGGATTAAGTGGCACCAAAATGAACTGTTTGTGAGTTCACTATAAAACCCTCGGTTCTAAGCCTTGGTCAAATGAAGATTAAATATAAATTTATTCAAGGGGTTAAAATAATATAAGTTTAAGAGTTAAAAGGAATGTTCAATATAAGACAAAATAGGTGAAAATGTGTCGGATATATATAGTGGAAATTTAGGCAAACAAATATTGTTATTTAGATGGACAGGTCGAGAAATGGTCAAATAAATATTAGTACAAATTGTGAATAATAAGAGATAAGGTTTGGCCGGCAATAAATATTAGATTGGGAAAGTCGGGGATCTCTTTAATTGAGATGGCAGGTCAATTCTTATCATTATTTATATTTTTGAGAAAAGCTATTTTTTAATTTGTTTATTTGTTTATGCGAATGCAGCAGTAAAGTAATCGTGTCATATTAAATATTAAAATAATTGTACAGATAAAAGATAATAAATACTCAAAAAATATTATATAAGTTACTGGTGGGAAGATAGGTACAGGAGGTTTTGAAGAAATATTCGACTCCATCTGGACTAATTTTAATTTTAAATTTTATCAAATTTCAGAACGCAAGATTTAAAATAAATGAAATTGAATAAAAGAGTAATGGGAGGAGGGGCGGGGGAGAGAGAATTTAGATGAAATTTAATTAAAAGCTTTCTGAAATAATTCTCAACATACCAATTAACTAAAAAATATTTAATAGTACCTTAAACTCTCGCGATACTTTACTCGTTGCGAGGAGACGTATTATCAGGTTTCATTGTATTTTATAAAAATTTAGAGATCTTAGAAATTACTGGGTTAGACATTTCCGCATGTAAATGATTATAAAGATAAATTTCTTAAAGTATAAATTATAAAATCTAAATTATAAATGATATACAGCCTTAATTGTACCTTTAAAAATAATTTTTACGCTTAAAATTGTCATTTGATTTTTTATCTAATAATTAAATTTAATAAAATAATTTTTTAAATAAATGTAAACAATTCTTAATAATGGCAATTATATAGCCTTTAATTAAATACACAATTCTAATAAAATTTAACAAATTTAATTACAATTGTTTCAAAAATATTTAACTGTCTCTATAATTTAATTATCTTATTTTAATATATGTATAAGTAAAATATTTGGCACTGGTCTAGTTAATGAGTCCAATGACATTATGAGTCCAATAGAAGTTTACGAGTTCAATAAAAGTTTATGAGTCGAATCAGCTCGACGAGCTCTTTCGAATGAGCAAAAACTTTTTAAATTAAAAAAAATCACCCCTATGGTTGTTCAATTTTCAGGGGTCTGTATTTCGGTCAAATCAAGTCGGATTTTGTTGATTTTGGTGTCATTCGACACAGCTCGATGTGTTCTACAATTGTTGCTCAGACTGACCATTTTTACATATTTTTCGAAAAAACTGACTGGGGGGGGGAGTAAATAAGTACCGTGACTAAGTGAGTCACTTTCCATTTTTGACAATTCTTTGTACATCTTTTACAATGTACTTTATATTGCAACACCTTTATTATTGTCATTTCTATCTATAATAGATAGGCAGAAATTTAACTTTTTTTAATGAAAGGCAGAAAATTTCTCTCTTTCAAATTCATTTTTTTATATCTGTATGATATTTAGAGATAAAGATTTTAGTTGTATTATTTGTGTTAATTTGTTTATTTAGGCTAATTCTGAGGAATAATTAATTCTGAGATATTTTCGTTCTCTATTAAGGAATAGGAAGATGAAATAATCCCTTCAGAAGAAGGGAAGGTATTTTACAGCTTTTCCTAAAGTATAGATTTTAATGAAAGATAGATTTAAACACAATTTTTATATTTTCACTGTTTGGTTGCCAGAGTAAGCTTAGAACAATTCTCAGGAGAGAAGTTTAGAATTCGAGTGCCGGCATCGGGACATTCGGCTTGTTGGTCTTGGAACCTGATTTTTGAACTTTAATAAGATCCTTCTGGGATGTTATTATTGAAACTGTAGTTTTTTGAGTATCTATAAATTTTCTCCAATAAAATATCCCACAAATTGCTGTTTCCAATGATACTCCTAGCAAAGCAAGTTCGCCTGTGTATACTGAGGGTGTTGTTCCTGTGATCTAAAATATATTACATATAATATTTTAAATCTGTCATCTAATCAAAAATTTTAAAGTTATCATTTAATTATTTACCAATTTATATACAATGTTGCCTTCACCAGGAATAACATTTAAAAATATTTCAATTATAACAGTAATTTTAATAATTCTATTGTCCTTAAATTATTTAGAACTAATTTTAATTTAAAAATTAAAAAATATTTTTACCAATTTCTTTTTAGCTTCCCCTCCAACTTTTTCGAGTAAATATAAAAATAAAATACAACAAAATACATTAGCAAAACCAAAACAAGTTTTAACAAAAAGGACTGGATAATTTTTTAATCGAGGTTGCATACAAGATTGGGTTTCACAATATTTGTCTTTAAATTAATTTTAATTTTTATTTGTTTAATTTATTCAAGAACCCCAAAGGATCAAAAATATGCAAAAAATGGGGCACGCTCAAAAGTCACAAAGCCATAACTTGCTTCTATATTTCCAGATCTTACGACATTTAGTATTAAACGATTCACCTCATCGTGTTAAGGATATTGGCACTTATGTAGATTGATTATTTTCCAGCAAGTTATGTCTTTGCGCCGTTATGGCCGCGAGCCTTTTTGGGAATCTCTTTGGAAAATCATAAGGACAAAATGGGACACACCTAAAAGGCGCAATGCCATAACTTGATTCAAGATTCTCAAATCTCATGAAACTCAAATTAAACGATTCCTCTCATAGAGCTAAAGAGATTGGTACTTAAATTGGTAAGGACCAGGAATTTTCCAGCAAGTTATGTCTTTGCGTCGGTAAGTACAAATCTTCATACAATATCTTCATTATAAATCATGAAGACAATTGCCCACTGATTATTATTAAGTTCAATTACCAGTTTCATAATCTAATGGAAATTCAAAAGCATAGCTTGCCCCACATAAAAGATAAACTGCGATAACAACAAATATCCCTCCAATAATAAATATTCCATTTTTCTTGCCAGTCAATTGATTTCCCGTTTTTAACACCAAACAACGTTCCAAACAAAGAATAAACACCAAAATACTTGAAACTCCATAATGAAGAGCATTAAATGTACTCGAAATGAAATGATAAAGAACGTTAGAATATAATGGCTCGTTTCCACGAATAAATGGAGGACGCCACCAAAATACTTTGTAAATGAAAAATGGCAATTCTGTTGCTATAAAAATCTTATTAGTATATTATATCAATTTTTTGCAAATTGTGTTCCAAATAACCCCCCCCCCCATTTTTTGAGATAATTTTTTAAGTTATAATCTACAAGTTGTCAGGAAATTCACTGGCGCTTTATAATAATTTTCGTTAAACGTTAAAAAGCATTGGGTAACCTGATATGCCAACGATGAACTTTTTCGGTTACAACATTGGTAATTTTCGGTTAAGTGACCGCACTTTAAAACTGTTTAAAAAGGGTCATGAATATGGACAAACTATATGTTATTCGAAAGAGCTCGGCGAGATGACTCGAATACAACAAAATCATGTGGGATTCGAAATGATACGGGCTCGAAATGGTTAAAAGATACAAGGATCAGATTCCTTCCTTTTAATGGTTCCTGGTTCCTTCCTTCCTTTTAAAAATTCTATTGTAATACTAACCTCCACAAAAAACATTCACTGTCAAATAAAGCTTCATGCTATCGGAAATCCCTTTAGTTTTGAGTGCCGATTTATTAAATTTTGCTGTGTAAAGTAATCGTGTCATATTAAATATTGAAATAATTGTACAGATCAAAGATAATAAATACTCAGAAAATATTATATAAGTTACCGGTGGGAAGATAGGTACAGGAGGTTTTGAAGTAATATTCGACACCATCTGGACTAATTTTAATTTTTATCAAAAATTTAAAATGAACGAAATTGTATAAAATAGTAACGGGGGAGGGGCGGAGAAGAGAGAATTTTGATGAAATTTTATTTTAAAATTTCTGAAATAATTCGCAACATAACAATTAACTAAACCTAGAACCTTAAACTCTCGCGAATACTTTACTCGTTGCGAGGAGACGTATTAGCAGATTTCAGTGTATTCTATACAAATTTAGAAATATTCAGAAATTACTAGGTTATATGTACAAGTCCACGTTCAAAAATTTCTTAAAGTATAAATTATAAAATTTAAATTTTAAATAATATACAGCTTTAATTGTGCCTTTAAAAATAATTTTTACACTTAAAATAGTCATATGATTTTTTATCTAATAATTAAATTTAATAAAATATTTTATATAAATATTTAAATAATTTTTAAAATAAATGTAAACAATTCTTAATAATGGCAATCTATAATGTCTTTAATTATATACACGAGTCTAATAAAAAAATTTAACAAATTATTTAATTATAATTGTTTCAAAAATTATTTAAATGTCTATAATTTAATTTTCTTTGAAGTTTATAAAATTAAAATGAAATTAAAAGTTTTTTCTTTGAAGTTTATACTAGTGCAATAGATAAATTAATATTTAAATTCTTACTTTTACAATTTTTTTTGGATTATTGTTAATCTAATGGATTTAAAATTTTTATCGAAATTAAAAAAATTAAATAACTAAAGTTTAATAACCACAACACTTTAAAGGGGAAGGAATTAAGCAAAAGTCAGTCATACTACATATTTTTTCTAGCTAGCGATTGCTTAATACATAATCAGTCCCGCCGTGGATGCCCCTACTAATTCATTAACCACTTTAATATGTCCAGGCCGTTTCAGAGCGACTGCGAATCCCAGAATTGGCCATACTGAGGAACGCTTCACCAATTACTCGCTCCCCCAAACCCCTTTTTCATCGATCCATCCTAATCCCAAAGGAACCTCGGACCCTCTCCTTCACTCTCACTTTATATTTTGAGGATTTATTCTTGGAGTAGAATCCTGTAGGATTTAAATAAATTAATTCCCAACCATCATTAAAAAATAATATATTTTGTTTTAAATCAACTAGAAAAATTCAATATCATTCATTTTATTCGATCCTCTACATTAATACTCTCAATGCGAATATCAAACAAATTAGTTAAATAATAATAATCACTTTAATTATTTTCATTTTGTTATTTTTGCCACTGAACCTAATTTCTAAACTTTAATAAGATCCTTCTGGGATGTTATTATTGAAACTGTAGTTTTTTGAGTATCTTTAAATTTTCTCCAATAAAATATTCCACAAATTGCTGTTTCCAATGATACTCCAAGCAAAGCAAGTTCTCCTGTGTATACTGAGGGTGTTGTTCCTGTGATCTAAAATATATTACATATAATATTTTAAATCTGTCATCTAATCAAAAATTTTAAATTATCATTTAATTATTTACCAATTTATATACAATGTTGCCTTCACCAGGAATAACATTTAAAAATATTTCAATTATAACAGTAATTTTAATAATTCTATTGTCCTTAAATTATTTAGAACTAATTTTAATTTAAAATTCAAAATATTTTTACCAATTTATTTTTAGCTTCCCCTCCAACTTTTTCAAGTAAATATAAAAATAAAATACAACAAAATACATTAGCAAAACCAAAACAAGTTTTGACAAAAAGGACTGGATAATTTTTTAATCGAGGTTGCATACAAGATTGGGTTTCACAATATTTACCTCAAAATAAATTTTTATTTGTGTAATTTATTGAAGAAGTCCAAAGGACTTCTAAAAAATTGCAGATGGTTTTATACTTTAGTCTCAGAATTTACAAGCATAAGCATGAAATAGCCTTTGTTCAATAGTTCCGAATCTTACGAAACTTAGTATTAAACGATTTTTCTCATAGAGCTAAAGATATTGGTAATTAAATTGATGAGGAGTTATGTCTTTGCGCCATCATGGCCCCACGCCCTTTTAGGCTGTATCCGGAAGAAATTTTAAATTTATACATAAATTGAAAAATAAAATTTTTTCATTAAATCTCCGTCCTAATTCAGACTTGTATTTTATCATCTTTATACCTCCTTATTACAATTACTCCCATCTTTGATAAAATACAGGTCGAAATATAATTACCCCAGCTCAAATATTACACTTCATTTCTTAGTAAAGGAAATAATTACATACTCAGATAATTACTCAGAAATTAAAATTTTAATAAAAGCTACATTATCTTTATTTATTATTAAAGTAAAAGTTTAATCCCGGGCAGGCTTCCCTGCGACCTCCTGACAGTTATTGCTAGGCGCTCACCACGTACAGGTGCTCTGCCAACTGAGCTACCGGGACTCTGCCTTCACCTTCTCTTTTAATAGATCTTAAACCCCCGCCTAGTGAGCGTTTTAAATGCTAGCCAGCTGGACCTTTCTCTTCCTTACATTAATCATACAGACAAATTCCCAATACCCAGCACTGCTTATTATTTAGTTCAATTACCAGTTTCATAATTCAATGGAAATTCAAAAGCATAGCTTGCCCCACATAAAAGATAAACTGCCACAACAACAAATATCCCTCCGATAATAAATATTCCATTTTTCTTGCCAGTCAATTGATTTCCCGTTTTTAACACCAAACATCGTTCCAAACAAAGAATAAACACCAAAATACTTGAAACTCCATAATGAAGGGCATTAAATGTACTCGAAATGAAATGATAAAGAACATTAGAATATAATGGCTCGTCTCCACGAATAAATGGAGGACGCCACCAAAATACTTTGTAAATGAAATATGGCAATTCTGTTGCTATAAAAATATGTGTACTTAGATTTTATTAAATTATTCCAATTTATGTGTAAAGTCTGTTCCAAGTAACCTCTTATACTCAAGTCGAAGAACCGTGGATTTTTTGGTCCGGTTCTTAGGTTCGGTTTCTGATATACAAAGAATGGTACTTTTCGGTTTTGCCACACCTCTCCCATATATTCGCAGGTTATATTTTATATTTTTTTTCATATGTAAGATAAGATTATCTTTTAGCCAGAGCCCAATTTTCCGGCACACTGTGGCAGAACCGAAAAGTACCCAAAGAATTTTCAGGAACCGAAAACCCTACTAATAACATTTAATTTTGTGCCCTTCCTTTTAAAACTTTCATACTAACCTCCACAAAAAACATTCACAGTCAAATAAAGCTTCATGCTATCGGAAATCCCTTTAGTTTTGAGTGCCAATTTATTGAATTTTGCTGTGTAAAGTAAACGTGTCATATTAAATATTGAAATAATTGTACAGATAAAAGATAATAAATACTCAGAAAATATTATATAAGTTACTGGTGGGAAGATAGGTACAGGCGGTTTTGAAGTAATATTTGACTCCATTTATTTGTTAGTTTAATTTCAATTTTTAATTTTATAAAACCTCTTGAAGCAAGATTTTAGATAAGCGAAATTGAATAAAATAGTAATAGGGGTGGGGCGAGAGAATTTTGCTTAAATCTAATTAAATGAATTCAAAAATAGTTCGCAACATACCTAATATAATTAACTAAAAAAATATATACTAGTACCTTAAACTTCCACGAATACTTCACTCTCGTTGCGAGGAGACGTATTGGCAGGTTTCATTGTATTCTATAAAAATTTACAGATATTTAGAAATTACAAGATTAAATTAAATAAATTAAATAAGTTAAATTAAATTTCAAAGTATATATTATATTATTTTAATTCCAAATAATATCCAGCCTTAATTGTTCCTTTAAATCTAATTTTTACGCTTAAAATAGCCATTTGAATTTTTATCTAATAATTAAATTTACTAAAATATTTTATTTTATACTTATAAATATTTAAATAATTTTTTTAATATATTTAGACAATTCTAAATAATGGCAATCTTTAATGTCTTTAATTGTATACACAATTCTCATAAAAATTTAACAAATTATTTAATTATAATTGTTTCAAAAATATTTAAATGTCTCTATAATTTAATTTTCTTAATTTAATATGTAAGTAAAATATTTTCTTTGAAGTTTATACTAGTATGTATACTTTGCAAAAAATGGTACTTTATGGATATATCCCCCCCCCTATTTTGAGTCTCAGAGTTTTCCTTAATATGCAATAATGGTCAGCCTTTATCTTCCATAATTTCACTCCATTTCCCTGTAACGTATTTAATTGAGAGACATTAGTAAAGAAAAGATTATTTTTTTGCATTGTTGCCTATAATTAAGGGCTCTCCTCAGCACAAGGAAATGGAGTTATGGAAGTAAATAAAGGTTGACCATTATTGCATATTAAGGTAAACTCTGAGACTCAAAATAGGGGGGGAGTGATAAATCCATAAAGTACCAGAAAAATAAATTAATATTTAAATTTAATACTATTTAAATTCTTACTTTTAGAATATTTTTTGAATTACTGTTAATTTTAATGGATTTAAAATTTTTATCGAAATTAAAAAAATTGAATAAAAAATTATCAAGATGTTTAAATATAAAAAATTTTTTAGTAAAAGAAATAGTAATAATGTGGTTTACTTAAAAATAAAAAATAAATGACTGTAAATAAATGTTGTTTGTAATAATGGTTTTTGGAGTAAAATATCAAAATATTTTGTTGAACATACATATGTACACATTTACATTTGCAACGACTGACAATTCTCGCTAAATTTTGAGATAAATTTAATTTTTGGCCATTTAATTGGTGATTATCTTCCTATTATCTTCATTATCTTTTTCCGCCCAAGAACAAAAATCAGGGGAATTAATCGAGTGAATACGGTATATTTTTACAGAAAGAAATTTTAATTATATGAGGATTTATTCTTGTAGTAAAACCCAGTAGAATTTAAATAAATTACTTACCACCCTGCACATCTTCAAAAAATAATATTTTGTTTTTACATCAACTAGACAAATTCAATATCATTCAAATCTACATGATCCTCTACATTAATACTCTCAATGCGAATATCAAATAAACTATTTAATTCAATGCTCAAAATCTTAGCTTTTTGTTTGGCGGCTTCTGGCGAAAACAATCCTTTCCCCGAATATTTTTCTTTCATCTCTTTATTTATAAGGATAGTAACTTCATTGTTTGGACCCAAGTATTCTAAAATATGAACGGAAGCTTCATATAACCATCCTCCTCGGACCTTTTCTATAAAATCGTGAATGATTGATTTTCGCCCTTCATGGTGATTTTTTGATTTTGAAATATCCTTTAAAATTTATTTTATAATCTATAATAATCCATAGTATTAGGAGATATTGTGTTAGTTTCGGTTTGAACGGTAGTGAGTTTACAAATTGGCAGGGTAGACCAGTAAAAAGTGAGTCGCCAGTAAGGTTGCCGGATACTTGGAGATCTTCGGATATCCTGATCCGGTATCCGAACCGAAAATTTCAGGATATCCGGCCTTTTTTAGGATCCGGATATCCGGGTCCGACAACCTTAGTCGCAGTAATACACACACATTAAATTCGTTTCTTAAATTATTAGTTTTAAATGAGTCTCTGTTAACCCTTGAGATAAAATAAATAAAAAAAATTTTTTGATTTTTTCTGAATTTATTTTTTTACTGGACATATAAAAATTTATTTGGACGTATAAACTTTGATTGGACGCATGTATAAAAGTTGATTGGACGTTTATTATGTAATAGGCCATTTTATTTACCTTCAATTTATGTTCAAATATTTTTTGTTCCAAGGTCGATGCAAAAATAAAAAGACGAGATAAAATACACAAAGCATGTTCTCTCTCACCCAATGACAAGTTTAAATTTGATTTTATTTCTAAATTCACTTTGCATTGGTTATGAATATATTGCGGCAAATTTGATAATATTGTCTTATTTTTCTGTATTTTTAAAACAATAATTAATAAATTTAATCAGAGGTGAGTCGGAATTCCGATTTCCGATTTCAAAAAAAATTTGATTTCCGATTTCCGAGTTCGAATTTTGAGCCAGTTCCGAGTTCCGACACCTCTGACTGTTTCGACCCACTTCTGAATTTAATAAAAAAATTTTTTAACTAACCAAATTTTTAAATACTTCACCACCGAACATCGAATTAATTAATTCACTCAAAAATTTTTCTGAGTTTAAATATTCCCCATTGTTCGATACAGAAGAATGGTTAAACTTACCTTTTGATGTTAAAAATGCGAAGGTATCGAATGTTCTATTTGTTTGGGTCTGAAATTAAATATTCTTTAAGTAATGAAATAGTATTTTAATATTAGGTTTTGACAAGCACCAAGTCCAATATTAAATTAACGTCAACACGGGACAGGATCCCGTGCGTGATCTTACGGGATCTTGTCGCGAAATCCCGTATTTTAAGCGACGAACGGGATTATAGGATTTACAGGATTAATCCCGCGGGATCCTGTGAGTGAATGCGATTTTGCCGACCGTTGTCGCGAAGCGACGAAGGATGAGGAAAATAAAATAAATATATTTCTATAATTTTAATTCTAAATTAATCATCACTTTTTGCAAATTCCTTTTTCGGACTTTCACCTGGCTAAAAATAATTTTTTTGCTGTAAACATCTATTCAAACTCTATTTACATTTTTAGTCCTTTTGTTCTAAAACTTAACTTTATTTTCCACTCTTTTGTATTATTCAAAACATGTGCATTTTATTTAATCGTTCCTATTATGCCTTTAATGATCGAAATATTTTCCTGTCTACCCGCCTATTTTTCTGGCTTATATAATCTCCCCCTCCAAACCCCCAACTAGCTTCTTTCGGTGTTTAGCTTCTGTTCTAGCTTTCTCATTAGCTCATTCTGTTTGGCTTGCTTCTCTTGGTTTTATAGCTCTGGTTCTTGTGGCCTTATCATTAATTTACTTGTTGGATTTTAATTGTGTGAAATAAACTTTTTACTATTTGTTTGGTTTTAATTTATTTGGTGGTCAAATCCCTCGGCCAACTGTGTTGGAATCTTTTGGCCTAATCCAAGTAAAAGCTTTTGCTGAATTAATTTGTTGGTACTAAACCCTTGGCCAATTGTGTTGGAATCTCTTGGCCTAACCCAGCTCTTGCGAATCCCTATTTGTGTATTGGCTCTATTTGTTTGCTATATTTTTTTTGGTGCAACGGCCGGGAACCAGGCCGCCTTCAATTTGCTACTTGAATTCTAATTTTGGTTTGGAAGTGCTGTTCAAATGTCCGGAAGAATTAGACGAAACCTGAACGCTGCCTTGAAAACCATTCAAGAGCATACTGCCGAGGCCAATCGAATTATTGCTGAGGAAAATGATGAGGATACTCGCAGAAAGCTGAAACTGGAAAAAGCCCATATTGAGACCACTATTGGAAGGATTGAGGAATTGGATGCCCAATGGAGTGATTATGTGACAAGCTTAGAAGGGCCGCAAAAAATGGCTGAGGAGTCGCTATATCTGGATTTTCCGCCCCTATGTGCTGGTATGGAAAGGGAGGAAGGGCAGGAAGTACCGTTAGCTCAACGTCATTTTGTGGATCAATGCGAATTTGCCCGTCAAGTTGTTGTGCTAATTGAACAAACCATGGAGGATCTTGGCCAGTCTAGAAGCGGTTCACGTCAATCTGCAATGAGCGAAGTGTCAGATAACCGAACCAATGACCTTGGAAACCAAAATCGGAGGGCACAAGGAAATCAAAGGCCGCAGCCGCCTACAGTGCAGATGCAACCGCCTTTTATGGCGCAACCCCGTGCGAAGCTCCCTCCATTGCATTTGCCTCACTTTTCGGGAGAAACCAGAGACTGGCCTACCTTTTGGCAACTTTTCGAGTCAACTGTGGATAATGAGCCCAGCTATGACAATGTTGTGAAAATGAGTTATTTGCTTTCTCTGTTGGACAGGCCCGTACAGAATGTAGTGGCTGGATACTTACCTACGAATGAAAATTATCCCCGCGTTGTAAAGCTGTTAAAATCGAGATATGGAGATAAACGTGCGCTCAAGGAGTCTTTACAGTCGGAGCTCTACCATTTACCCCATGCTAATGACTCAGTGATGGGATTGCGAAAATTCTTAGACATAATTGAAAGAGTATGCCGTCAATTGACTGACTATGGAATTAGCGATGACTCTTGGATCGTTTTCACTATTAAAGAAAAATTGCCCAGAGGAATACTTGCCAAACTGATAGAAAAAGAACGAGTAGCCGAGCAAACATGGAATGTCGAAAAGTGGAGGAAAGAGCTTGATCTACTTATTTCAGTCAAAGAAGAGGTCCATAAATGTAGCGTTAATAAGGAACCTGATTGGCAACCACAAAGGGACAGACGCCCACTGCCAGACCCTGAGCGAACCATGTGCCAAGAAAATCATCTACCAAGCAAATGCCCGAAAAATAACAACCTTCAGGCCAAGAAGGATCGTTTGCTGGAACAAAACCGTTGCCTAAAGTGCATATTATGTAGAGGGAACCACCCTCCAAGCCACTGTACTAAGTATAGCAGTCCAAAGGCGAGGAAATACAAGTTACTAGAGCAGAACCGTTGCCTAAACTGCCTGAGTGATGGCCATCGAACCTTTGATTGCAGGAATAATCGCCGATGTATTAAATGTCGAGGAAAGCACCACCTTATGGTTTGCTATTCAAGTGTGTCAAAACTCCAAATGTTCGAATCTACGCGGAGGAGGAATAATTATTGTTCAAAGCAGGCTAGAATGTTTGAGACTGAAAAATTGTTAGATGAAAAGACAAAGGCTCTCCAAGAGAAAGATAGAAAGATAGTGAAATTGATGTCCGAGCTGATGTTGGCACGCAGAAAATCCGAGGAGGAATCCAAAAAAGCTAAGCGATTGAAAGTTCTATTAGATGAAGCTAACTCGAGGAAGATTGGTGATTTTAATCCGAAAAAGATTGATGATGGAAAAGGAACTCTGAAAGAGACTCAAGTGCAGTCAATTCCCTTCAAAAGACTAACCGAGAATTGCTTGTTAAAAATGGCCTGCTCAAGCGTGAAGTGCGCATTTGCCGTAAAAAATGCCTAAAACTAGAAAAACTGGAACCACCAGATTTCTATGACTTTTGCCGCCCATGGATGGATATAAAAATGTTAATGATTGTATTCGCCGCTTTTTCTATGATTCTGGATGGCGCTAAAGACGCTTTGAGGATGTTCTTTCGCGCAACCAATAAACTTTGGAAATGTAAACCGAATGAAAAGATGGAAAAGGAATTAACTCTGGAAACTCACTCTTGGCTTTCTTTAACGCTTTTCGCCGCCGCGGTTGCGATCAACCCCAATTGGACCTTCCTCGCCATCTTTGCTAATGTTATGGATGGTTGGGCACATGCATGGAAAGAGAGCAGAAAATGTGCAATGGATGATGTGCCGAAGATCAAGAAAAGAAAGAAAATAATTGAAAGATGGAAAAAAGAAATTGAGGATGAAACTTTCAGGCGCGGGCGGGAATGTCGCGAAGCGACGAAGGATGAGGAAAATAAAATAAATATATTTCTATAATTTTAATTCTAAATTAATCATCACTTTTTGCAAATTCCTTTTTCGGACTTTCACCTGGCTAAAAATAATTTTTTTGCTGTAAACATCTATTCAAACTCTATTTACATTTTTAGTCCTTTTGTTCTAAAACTTAACTTTATTTTCCACTCTTTTGTATTATTCAAAACATGTGCATTTTATTTAATCGTTCCTATTATGCCTTTAATGATCGAAATATTTTCCTGTCTACCCGCCTATTTTTCTGGCTTATATAATCTCCCCCTCCAAACCCCCAACTAGCTTCTTTCGGTGTTTAGCTTCTGTTCTAGCTTTCTCATTAGCTCATTCTGTTTGGCTTGCTTCTCTTGGTTTTATAGCTCTGGTTCTTGTGGCCTTATCATTAATTTACTTGTTGGATTTTAATTGTGTGAAATAAACTTTTTACTATTTGTTTGGTTTTAATTTATTTGGTGGTCAAATCCCTCGGCCAATTTATTTATTCAAAAAAAATAATGAACATGTTAGCTAATGTTCGTGACACCCGGTCCTGTCTCTAGGTAGTTTCCCTAGTCCATTTTCCTTACTCTCGGATATCTCTAATACTAACTAGCCCCCCTCCCCAGCCCAGTACGTATTTCTTCTAAAATAAGACCCTGGGGCTCTAGAAGTTGCTTATTTTAGTGAAAATGGAAAAGGACAAATAATTAAAAAACTTAATTTTCATTATTTAAGCTCCATTGGTATTTTGCCTATGTCAAGCCTTTGACTGTTAATTATCTTTAAGCTGTATTTCTCTCGTTTTTGTAAATGCACTCTTTATCGCGGGCTAGCGCAGTCTATGATAGTCACCTGCTTCCCAAGCACTTTTGTGATATAGCTTTCGCAATATATTATTGTTTAATTAAAAACTACAAAATAACATCAAACTTAAATTTAACTTTAAAAATATCCGAAAACAAAAAACAAAAACAATTTTCCTCAGAATCTTTTTTTATAAAATTCAGTAATTATAGGCTCGTTATTCATGGTGTTATTATTTACTTGATTTTAAAATATCCTTAATATTTTATTTATATTCTCCATTCAAACTTATTTTTAATTAAAATAATTTATGAAAGTACCACATTTTTAAGTGTTTCTAGAAATTCTATCAATATTTTTTAAACGAATTTTGTACATTTATCAAGAAAATGTACTTGAAAATTTAATAAAGCAAATAAAATACCGAATAAAAAATTTTATTATTACTAAAATAAAAATTATTTAAAAAACTTGTCAAACAAATATACGAAAATGGGATGGTTTTTGTAACTTTTTTGTGTTTAATATCTGATTTTATATTTAAATAGTTTGGAATAAATTGTAAATAAAATTTTATGATAGGTTGTTTAATAAAGTAATTATTTGAGGGTTGAAACTCTGAAAGACAATAGAGTGGGATTATTTTCATTTTATTTTAGTATCTCTATTGGAGCATTTTAATCGAGAAGGCAAGTAATTAACTAAATAAACGATTAAAAAGGAATTATTTTAGTGTGGTCTGTTCCCTGGATACTTGAAAATTTAATAAAGCATATTTAGAATATCCGGAAGGGAACCGATATCAGTACAGAAAATTGAATATCTGATTTCTGTTCAGATATCCAGCATCGCAAACACTACTTAATTGACGAAAAATCACGTTCATGTTTGTACTTTGCCAATAATTCTAATTTTTTATTTGGTTTATTCCTCCAAAATTTAATAAAAAAATTTTTATAGAAAAGCAATAAAAAGTATTTTAACGAAACGTGGATTTTTAGCTTAAGGTTGTTTTTAAGAATTTATTTAGAATAATATAAATAAAGTTTTGCTTTTATTTTTTTATATATTTAAAAGTAAAGCGAAATCATAAATCTAATCAGTTAATCTAAATAGTACATATTAATATATTTTGGTTCCCAAGATGCTTTAAGGAACTACTTAAAATACAGCCTAATTTTTCCCATTCAAAATTTATTTGTGATCATATCATGGCCACAATTAGGAGACTAAATGCTTTAGTTTAAGTAATTTTATTAGCTAAGGAAAATTAGCTAAAAATTCTTAAACAGAAAAATAATAAAACGTAAACATCCTGAAGAAGCCTTGGGCTAATATTTTTCAGTGGGCCTTTTTGTTTGAGTTTCTAATAGGCATGGGTTTTTATTTAGGATAGGCTTCTTTTTAAAAAATTTACAGGGCATAATAATTTAAATAGTTTATTTTCTTCTAAATTTATTCAGATAAATATATTTTAAAATATGAATACTACTTCTAATATAATTATTTGCTGTATTATTAATCTTATTTTTATTAAAATTTTGTTATCAATTTCACTTGATTATTCGAATCCGAGACACCATAACCCACAAAATAATTTTCTGATGAATTTTGAAGACGATTAATAAATTGGAAGAAATGAAGATTATTTACAAGAAATTGGATAATAAAAAGATTTTTAAATGTTTTATTTAAATTTTGCTTATTACATATTAATTATTATATTATTAATTAATCTTAATTATTAATCTTATCTATATAAAAATCTAAACTAAATTCTTGTATTAGATTTTGGCTCTTGTCCAGTTTAGGCGTCCAATCGCACATTTATACGTCCTAACAACCTTTATGCGTCCAATGAAAGCTTTAGACGTCCAAACGAATTTTTATACGTCCAATGAAAAGTTTAGACGTTCAAACAAATGTTTATGCGTTCAATGCGTGGTGATCGTTTTGGAGCCACAGTGAAAATTTAAATTTTAAATTTATGTAAATATTGTTCCCATTCTCGGAACAACTTCACCCGTTTCGGAACAACTTGGAACACTTTCTTCCGTTGACGGATCATCTTCCCCCGTTGACGAACAACTTGGAATGTTTTTCTTGAAAAGAAATAAAAGGCTCTATTACACAATATACGTCCAATCAACTATTATGCGTCCAATCAACTTTTATACGTCCAATCAAAGTTCGTACGTCCAATGAAAATTTATGCGTCCAATAAAAAGTTTATGCGTCCAATCAAATTTTATACGTCCGAACATATTTTTAGCACTTATAATTTAAAATAAATATAATTTAAGAAATACTTTTTAATAAAAAAAATCCTTATTTCATCAATTAATTTCGAATGCTTTAGCAAAAATTAAACCGGGAATTGTATTCCAATTAGGGTTGCCGGCCCGGTTCGGTTCGATAGGTCGAACCGGGCATCGAATTTTGGCTCGAAAAAGACTTGGTGCCTGGTTCGATAAATTGAAGCCCGAAAAAATGACTCGAACGTCGGCCTTTTTCGAAAACGGCAACTCAAATATATGTTGAAAAATTTTGTTCACTTGTAGATATGGATCTCATAACGCGAATGCTTCTTAGAATAGTGATATGAAACTGGTACGTGATGGTACTGCAACTACTATATATGGGGAATCATTTTTTAATTTTAATGTTTAATGTATTTATTTATTTATTTATTTACGTCAAAATGACGCGAAGGTCACAAATAAAATTACAATTCACAACAATGCCACAAAATTAAAACATAAAATTCGAAATAATATTAATTTTTTAAATTCAATGGAATGTTTTATTTGAGAGTAAATATAAAATCTGTGTAAATTAGTGGTTTATAATAAGGCGTGGTAAAGTTTTTTGTATATGCCCTAACAGATCAAAATTCATAATAATTTTTCTAAAATTCGAGGGTGTATTTTTCCTAATAACCATAGGTAGTGAATTATATAATCTAGATGTTCTAATGAAGTAGGAATTATATCTAACCATGGATGAGCAATGTGGAATATTCAATTTGTATTCCTCCCCACGGGTCCTAGAATGTTTATAGCGAATTATATTATTGTTGTTAATTTTAATTTCGCCAAAAATAATTTTTTGAAATAAAATCAAATCGATTTTGAATCGTCTAGTTTCTAATGTTTCAACATTAAATTTTTTGAGTAACTCGCCATATTTAGGAATATCCGAAAAGTTAATTTTTTGATTGTTTGTATAAGTTAGCCTTATAAATACAGATACAAGAAATTTCTTTTGGATTCTTTCAATATTGATAATATCTTTCCTTAAGTATGGATTCCAAATAGAAGACGCAAACTCTAATCCGGGTCTGACATAAGTATTAAACATATGTATAAGTATTTTGGGATTTTTAGTTTTAAGAGTCTTAAGTAAATTATACATAATCTTAGAGGCTTTTTTTGTAATAAATTCAATATGTTCTGAAAACTTTAGGCTAGGTGAAAATAAGATACCAAGATCTCTAACGACTTCATTTTTAGAATCTATGGTTATTCCATCAATAAAATATTCATTTTTATCGTTCCCGTTACCTAGATAAAGTGTCTGGCATTTTTTAATAGCTAATTTAAGACCGTTAGCGATACAATATTCTTGAAACTTATTAATAAATGACTGCAATTTTAAATTGTCTTTCTTAGTATAAATTTGGTATGCCTTGATATCATCTGCATAAAGTTTAATTTTGACATTTTCCGTGAAACAGAGTTTGTTTATATCCGAAAAGTATAGGTTAAATAAAAGGGGACTAAGAATAGAACCCTGTGCAACTCCACTACTTGCGGTGTAAGCGTTAGAGAGTGTTTTTCCTACTTTAACTTGATAATTTCTGTTAGTGAGCATTTGCTTAATCAGTTCTAATAACGATTCTCTGATTCCTAATATTTCTAATTTCTTAAAGAGCCTTTCGTATGGTAGTGAATCAAAAGCCTTACTAATATCAAAATAAACAATATCTATCATCTTTTTTTGTTCTAAGCCTAGGGAAATATCTTCCACTATTTCTAATAACTGAGTTGTAACCGATTTGCTTCGAATGAACCCATGCTGTATATCGGAAAATAAATTGTTTTTATTGCTAAATTCTATAAGCTCGTTATATATAAACTTCTCAAAAAGTTTAGAAATAGTACAAGAAAGCGCAATTGGTCTGAAATCTTCTGGTGTTTTTATTTTTGTTTTCTTGGGTATAGGTTGAACAATAGCGAGTTTCCATATCTCAGGTATTGTACTAGTCATTAAGCAATAGGAAAAAATGTAATGAATCGGAAATTCTAATGTATTTGCGCATTTCTTATAGAATAAATATGGAATCCCATCTGGGCTTGTATTACTTATATTTTTAGATGATAAGAGGATTCTAAGAGTATCATTTCTATTAATTGAAATAAAATTTAATTTTTCTTTGGCTATATTTTGAAAATTTTCACTGACTATATCATTAAGACAGGGTATATTTGTGTTAAAATGAGACTTAAAGTATGAAGAGATGAGGTTACTTTTATTTTCTTCTGAAAAATTTGGATTACCATTAGAATCGAAAATGGTTGGCAAAACCGATTTTTTATTTTTAAGAAATTTACTAACGTGTTTAAATTTAGAAGATAAACTAGTAATATGTTTTCTTTCTCTATTCCTATAAAACTTTTTAGTTTGTCTATCTATCTGTCTGTTAAGTAAAACAATCCGCTTAATATTCTCCTTAGTATGTTTTTTATTCCAGAGAGTCTGTTGGTATGCAAATAATTTTCTTATATGAATTGGAATTGTTTTTGGGTCTTTTTTGGTTTTAATAGGGACATAGATTTCTATAAGCCAATTTATCAGGTCCTTAAACCCAATAAATATCTCGTTAACATTTGTATAACTACTAAAGAATGTAATCCAGTCTATGCTACTTAATTCTTGATTGATCTGTTCAAAATCAGCTTTAAAGAACTGTTTGTAAGAAGTTACTGGTTTTCTATGTTGATAATTTTCATAAATATCAAAAGCTATAGATTTATGATCAGATGTACTAAATGGCATTAAGATCTTAATATTACCTATGATATTGTTAGGACTAGTAATTAGAAGGTCTAGAATGTTTTTAAGTCTGGTAGGTTCTTTAATGTGCTGTTGAAATTGGAATGTGTCTAGAAGATTTAAAAATTGCGATCCTTTATCACCTTTGATTTTTAATTTATCGCCTATAAAAGACAGATCAGTGAAGTTAAAATCGCCTATAATAATTACCGAGCTAGAGTCATTTACTAAGTTATACAAACTATCAATCAATTTTTCAAAAAGCTGCGGTGTTTCTTTATTGATCGATCGATAAACTGTTAATATCCTAATAGAGTTATTGTTTGGGAGTATAAGATCGATTCCAATAATTTCAAAGCTCAAAGAAGATGGGCATGATATTTCAATAAAAGGTAAAAGGTCTGAGATTATTATGGCCGTACCTCCACCTGTACCTCTTTTCCTATCATTTCTAACTATGGAATAATTTAAATCCCCTAGAATGGTCGAGTTGAGAATTTCCGGGCGGAGCCAAGTTTCAGTTATAAAAATTAACAAATACTGCCTAATTATAATCTGGAGGGTTTCTAATTTATTATTTAAACTTCTAGCGTTAAAGTAATAACATGAAATTGATCTGTTAGAGCACCCCTTATTTTTATTCGTAAAATTTTTATTTTTGGAATTACGCTCCAGATTTTTATTTTTGTTCTTAAAACTTTTATTTCGGGAATTACGCTCAAGGTTTTTATTTTTACTCTCATTCAAGTCAATAATAAATTCGGAAAAATTTTTTAAAAATCGATTCAAACCGAGTTTTTTTGATTATTGTCTTCCATCTGTTTCCCAATGTGTTCCAAATTATTGGCCATTCTTCGATTCTTTTCAGCTTGTAATTGTAACGGTGTCAGGGAGGGCCGGATCCAGAGTCTTGAATATTTGTCCATTCCACGCAATTTGATTCGTTCTTTTTTCCAACCATGAAGACAATGCCACTGAAAATGTCTCGCCGGAAAAACTAATTTTATAGGCCTTGAACCTGTCCTAGCTGCATCAAAGCGACCCATTCTGTACGAACATAATGGAACCGACTCGACGTGCAGCTCGTCGAGTAAACTTGAAATTGCTGCTTGATCAGATTGAGCACGTTGTTGAGGCGTGCCTGTTGCTTCCGGTAAACCCAAAACCACAACAGAACGTTGTCGCTCCAATTCTTGAGGTGAATTGTTGTCTTGTTGTTGTCGCAGTGTTTCCACCGTTAATTTACACGTGTCAATAACCGCCAATAAAGTCGAAAAAATGGCTTTTGTTTTGTCGTCTTTTTCATTTTCCAATAATTTACCCAAGTCATTTGCTGCAGTAGTGAATTTATTGATTTGATTTAATAAATTTTCGTTGTTGTTGTCATTGCTGGAATTAGAATTAGGAGAAAACCCCGCTTCCATGCGAGTTCTTTTTCTTTCCATAACTTGTTGTATTAGATTTTGGCTCTTGTCCAGTTTAGGCGTCCAATCGCACATTTATACGTCCTAACAACCTTTATGCGTCCAATGAAAGCTTTAGACGTCCAAACGAATTTTTATACGTCCAATGAAAAGTTTAGACGTTCAAACAAATGTTTATGCGTTCAATGCGTGGTGATCGTTTTGGAGCCACAGTGAAAATTTAAATTTTAAATTTATGTAAATATTGTTCCCATTCTCGGAACAACTTCACCCGTTTCGGAACAACTTGGAACACTTTCTTCCGTTGACGGATCATCTTCCCCCGTTGACGAACAACTTGGAATGTTTTTCTTGAAAAGAAATAAAAGGCTCTATTACACAATATACGTCCAATCAACTATTATGCGTCCAATCAACTTTTATACGTCCAATCAAAGTTCGTACGTCCAATGAAAATTTATGCGTCCAATAAAAAGTTTATGCGTCCAATCAAATTTTATACGTCCGAACATATTTTTAGCACTTATAATTTAAAATAAATATAATTTAAGAAATACTTTTTAATAAAAAAAATCCTTATTTCATCAATTAATTTCGAATGCTTTAGCAAAAATTAAACCGGGAATTGTATTCCAATTAGGGTTGCCGGCCCGGTTCGGTTCGATAGGTCGAACCGGGCATCGAATTTTGGCTCGAAAAAGACTTGGTGCCTGGTTCGATAAATTGAAGCCCGAAAAAATGACTCGAACGTCGGCCTTTTTCGAAAACGGCAACTCAAATATATGTTGAAAAATTTTGTTCACTTGTAGATATGGATCTCATAACGCGAATGCTTCTTAGAATAGTGATATGAAACTGGTACGTGATGGTACTGCAACTACTATATATGGGGAATCATTTTTTAATTTTAATGTTTAATGTAACAAACATTAAATCGTTTCTTAAATTTGTTTTAAATGTTAGCCCTTGAGCAAGGCATTATAATAAATAAAAATTATTTTGATTTTTTCTGAATTTATTTTACTGGACGTTTAAAAATCTATTTGGACGCATAAACTTTGATTGGACGTATAAAAATTTGATTGGACGCATAAATTTTTATTGGACGTATAAACTTTGATTGGACGTATAAAAGTTGATTGGACGCATAATAGTTGATTGGACGTATATTGTGTAATAGAGCCGAAATAAAAGTTACAAATATAAATCCAATTCGCATAAAAAATTTATTTGGACGTCTAAAGTTTTCATTGGACGTATAAACATTTCATTGGACGTATAAAGGTTGTTTGGACGTATAAAGGTGCGATTGGACGCCTAAACTGGCAAGAGCCTAGATTTTTTCGCTTGTTAAATCTAATAGAACCATTGGTGGTCTATTTTTCACCCTCTCTATTTGGTGTGGTTATATTAGAGATAGTAGTTCTAGTAGAGACTGTGGTTCTATTATGGTAGGAATCTGAATCTGCTGAGGAATTGAAAAATGATTCTCAATTTTAATTCGACATCAAAGGCAGCCTTCACTCAATTGAGCATGCTTATGCCCCTCATATGAATAAATGCACTTTTAATATATTTTGCAATATTTCAAAAGAAAAAACCCGACAATATTACATAATATTTTTTAAGGAAAATTTTGCCCCTGTCTATCAATCATTTATTTATTTCTCCTCTAAATATAAAAAAATATTTTATTTAGCCGACTTTATTAATTTAAAGACAAGAGATTTCCCAATGCCGCCTAAAACAATATTATTTTATTTAAACATTTTATTGTTTGCAAACATTGTTTTGTCAGTAATTACTTCAAAAACACAAAGTATTGCAGGCGGACCTAGTCCATCAGCTATGGGTGAACAAATAAATGGTGAGAGTGAGGGGAGAGACGTATCTCTTATTGTTTAATTTTATAGACTAGATTTTTTGTTATTTAGTAGGACAAAATTATGCTTCTTTATAAGAATCCCTCTCTGAGAACCTTATAAAACCTTCTACACAAAAATACAAAGCCCACACCATAGGATTCGAAAATCATTTTCTGATTTTGAGAAGTTACATCATTCGGATATAAATTTAAGTTTGGCTGTAAAAATGCAATATTTTCAGCTGATCCACAAAGTTCATCTGGCAAAAATTCTCCAGACAAATCAAGTATATAATTATAATTAAGATATTATTGTGTTCATGCTTTGGAAAGATCATTGAATGTGAGATGGAATAAAACCATCGTAAAGCCCTTCCCTCAAATAATTACCCGCTCCCGCGAGAGATCGAAACAATAAGTACCCAGGGTAATTATTTGAGTAAATACTGTAACACAGAATCACATCATTTGAATATAAGGCCCTCTCTGAGAACCTTATAAGACTTTCTACACAAAAATACAAAGACCACACCATAGGATTCAAAAATCATTTTCTGTTTTTGAGAATCACATCAATACTTTAATATGGACTTTTAAAATCAATGGACTTTTAAAAAAGAGTCCATTGATATCTTTATAAATTAATTCTATGTATATAAAACAAAGAAACACGTTAAATTTGCCGAGGAAAATAAAAATGTTAATCATGATTCAAAAAAAGAAAAAAATTCAGAAGGGCCTAGTCAATCTTCTACCGGTAATCTTATTATAGATTTATTAATTTTATACAAGTCTTAGATGAAACAAGAGTAGCATCTCCGGATAAAAAACAACACAAATTTATGAGTAAATTAAAACATGTGGGAAGATTCATTGGACGAGCTCTAATAGGTAAATATGTATATAAAGTGATTTTTAATCTCAAGGTGTGGGCAAAACAAAGTCCGAGAACACTAACCATTGCTACACACAATAAATTGGATTAATGTTATCATAATATCTTTGGATCCTATCTCTATTTGGTTTTGTTTCTAATGTGTCGACGGTATTTTGATTGGAGGCTGTAATTTCGTCTCTCATTTTCACCGATTTTAATCTATTGCTTATGAAAGTCATTTAATAAAACCTTAATAATAGCCAAGATTCAAAATTACTAGTTTCAAAATTCACTAAAACTGAAATATACATTAGTATTGGCCACGAGAGAGATCTAGCGGCGAGGGGTATCTCAAAACGATTTACCTTATTATTACTCCTCCATGAATAAATAAAAAATATAATCTCATAATTTTTATGAACAGGTGGAGAATCTTCTAAAAAGGTTAAAGAAAAATTAAGTGATGCTGAATTGAAAGCATTGGAACTTGGTAAACTATATAATTTTAACTATCGTATGTATACTATATTTGAATACACCAAAATATTTTAGAAAAGAAATCAAAGGAACTAAATGAATTTGTTTCAAATTTTATTAAAGGCCATTTGACTAAGGATGGTAAGAACCAGAAAAATTCCTTTTTAATCCTAAAATGTCCTAAAATAAATAAAATTTTAGGACATTTTAGGTTAGAAATAAAAAGTCTTTCTCCTTCCCGTCATTCTTCCGGTTTTTATCATGGTCATTTTCTTCCGCCCTTCGATTACCGGTTCTTAAAATGCAAAAGATTTCGTTATTATCTACTGTCTAATGACCCTTGCTTAATGCCCCTTGGTTTTCTAATGGCCCTTTGTTCAGTTATATATTTCATAATTACTTTTTAAAATACACCTCAAGGATGAAAAATTTTGCTTAGAATCGAGTGTTTTTATTGATAGTATCGCTAAGTCATCTCCACTGGCTGAACAAATTATAAAAAAATTTTGCAAAAACTAATTCAAAAATATTTTAGACATTCCACATATTTATTACCCTGACCCCCAAATAAAAAATGAAAATCGACAAGACCTCTTGCATGTTGTAACGAACTCTTCTAACAATTTTAAACAACTATATTCTTGTATACAATTTATTAACATTGAAGAAAATTACGATAAATTAGTCGAAATTATTAAAAAAATAAAGAATGGGGAAGGTAAACGTATTCTTGAATTGTATACAGTAGATTATGTTTTAAAATTATTGAAAAAGTTTGAAGAACGCTCTGCTAAATATTCTGGAAGTTTAGATGAGGAGGATATTGAACATGAGGTTAATTTATCTAGTGAATAAGATTTGGGGGAAATATCGAGGAATTCCATTCCTGATCTCCTCGATAGCTTCGCCTACTCCACTCAACTTTATTGTTATCTAAAATAAATAAATATTATTTAAATTAAAATAGACTTTATTGAAAAAAAAAATTTTTAAGATGCGAGCAACTCAGCAAATACTTGATTTAAATTTTGCAATAAAATTGGGTTATTTACGCTATATTTATATGGATGAATTGTGTAGAAATTTAGATGTTTATTACGATGAGGATAATGAATATAGGCCCTTTTTTATTGGAGCATGTGAAGGAGTTAGACCAACTTTAAGGAATATTAAGAAAATTATTTTGGCTAAGGATAAAGAAGAGGATAAGAAGAAAGAAAAAATTATTTTGGAAGAAAAAGCAAAACACGAAACTAAGGGAAATTTAGAAACAATTTTGGAAGAAGATGAACATAAAAATAAGAAAGGAAAAGCTGTTCTTGAAGAAGATAAGCATGAGAATAAGAACAATGAAGAAACCATTTTGGAGGAGGAAGATGAGGGCGAGCATGGGAAAAACGAAGAAAATATTTTAAAAGAAGATGAGGACGATGCTGAGATTAAAGAAGTTATTTTTGAAAATGTTAGTAAGAATTTGGGATTAGAATAAATTTGATCTTGAAAAAGATACGAATAATTGAAATATTACTAAATAAAATTTTTTTATTAAATATATGACTACATAGTATTTTGTAATGAATAAATAATTTTAATAGTGTTAAATAGACCAGAAAATAATGAAAGTTGCTATTGGGCTGTAGTTATTTTCAATTTTAAATTTTTAAAAATTGTAAAATTCAGCTAACGGAAGAGAATCAGAAGCAGTTTTTACTGTTTAAAAACATATTAAAACTCTAATTAAGCTTAAATTCTTTTAAAAATAAAGTTTTTAAATAAACATTTAATTTATATATTATTTCTTCAAATTTTTTAAAAACATAAAGAATAGCGGTAAATATTGTTGTTTATTTTACTTTTTATTTTTATATTTACTCAATAACTTTGATCTACATATTCAGTTAGTTTGCGCATTAAGCACTAAAATACATAAATATATTAAAAATGTATAATTAATTTAGGAAATAAAACTAACATTCTCCGCGATTTTCAGGTAAATATTTATCCACTTTGTCTATTTCAGATGCTTGTTGATGATTTTCGGGTCTGAATTTAATATCAAATAATTAAAGATTAATTGATATTTAAATAAATTTTGTTATAATATGAGGAGGTATACATGTCTAGCTGCGGAAAATTTTTTCTAATTTATTTTTCCATAAGACAACTTTCACAAAAAAATTTTTTTAATTATAATTTTCCTTAAGTTTTCTTTCTAGTAACCAAAAATCAGATAATCTTTGACGGAATTAGATTTTTAATATTTTTACAAAAGTATTTTATAAAAAAAAATAACGTTAAATAGCTGTCATGATTTCCATTTGGATGTTGTAGTGGGAGGGCATTTACTTTGGAATTCCTCTGCATTTTGAAAATACAAAATAAATTCTTAATTATTAATTTAGTAAACTTACACCGCCACTGAAAAAGCCTGCAAAGGAATTTATTATCACCAAAATCAAAAATAATAATTTAATATTAAATTTATTCATTTCTGTAAAAAATTTTTGTTACGTAAATTAAGCTTAATTATGTGTTTATTAAAATAAAATTCAATTATTTTTACGATGCAAGCTTTTTTAGGAAAGGAAACAAAAAATATATTAGAAAAACGTTTCAATATTCAGGCAGCTTTGATATTTTAATTGTCCGGTTTCATGTTCTGTTTTTTCTTTTTACCTATTCCCAAGCATGTCCTAAGCATACAAACTAGAGACCGGACCGAGACGAAATCTCGGTTAACGAGATCGAGAAACTTTCGAGATATCGATCTCGGTTCTCGTATGACACTCCCAGTCCGGTCTCTAATACAAACATTTTTTAAAAATTCTGAACTTTAAAAAAATATTTTTATAATTTATTTTAATGAAAACTTGTATTTTACATATATATCTTTTTAAATATTTAAAAATTTAAAATAAAAGCAATAAAAATTATTTTAGAAATTAACATAAAAGAAAATTTTAAAAATTAAATTTAAAACGAGAGCATTTTTTATTTTTAAATTTAATTTTAAAATAATATTCATTCAAGGTTTTCAAATTATTTTTTGATAATAAAAAAATATTTTTAAAGCATTTTTGAATTTTATTAGGCCATTTAAAATTTATGAATAAGCATTTATTTAATTTAACATTTTTCATAAATTTATTTTTTAATTCTATTTTCATTTTAAAATTAAATTCAATCGGATCTCTAAATAAGTTACATCCTAAAGGCCTAAAATTTGGATATTAAAATTAGGTGTATTTAAAAAAAGAGGCTTCGCCTAGGCAGCTTCCCTCTAAAAAATAAACTAGCAACCTATAATCCATTTTAAATAGAAGTGTATCTAATATTGGGTTATCTTATATAGAGGTCCGACTAGAGTTTTAAGAAAAAATAATTTTTTAAAAATATAAAATGCAACGAATTCTTTTATTTGTGGCGTTGTTCTTATGTATAGTTTTGGTTTTTGACGTTTGTTTTTATTTAATAAAAAATTAATTTGAATTTTGCATTTCACTGGAGATTTATTAGAATGTTTAGAATATGAGTATTTTGAATATATATAATATAAGAGCTATGCATTTTTTATGCATTTTTGAACTAATAAAAGCATAAGTAAAAGCTGCTTTGCGTCTTGAAGGTAACATACCAACGATGGGGTGACAAAATACCACAAGACTTATCTCTCCTTTTTCCCTACTATCCGGGATATTCTATACGTTATCTTATCCTGTTCGATAAACGAGGATTAAAGCTTTATATAAGATAACTCTAGTATCTCAATACCCTCGCTCAAATGCATACCCTGCTCAAATTTCTTAAATCGAACTGTTGATTATTTAACCCCTCTAGTAAAAAAATAATCAACTGAGTAATTATCAAGAAAATACAATAAACCAAACATTTTTATGTTTTTAAATTCAAATATTTAAGAATATCAATTTTGCTTCCGCTTCCCCATTGGAAAGTCGTGAATACAGCCAGTAAGCTCTATCAACTTACATAATAAAAGTCATTAATTAAAGTCATGCTCACCCGCCGGCTTACAATTGGGATTTGAACAAGATAAAGTCTTGGAATAAAAATGATGGACCTGGTAACTTTTAATTATTTTATTTAAATTTTACTTTTATTTAAGGATATCTGGAACAACCTTGAATGTGAGATATTGAGTAAAAAAGAGAGAAATTATAAAGAAAAAGTTAATTTCACAAAAAATATTTTTTAATAATTTTATATGGATAAAAAATAAAATTTTTTGCATAGCAATGTAAAATAAAAAAGTTTCATAAAGCTAGAGAAATTACGAGGTTACTTGATAATAGAGATCAAACGGTATTTTTTGGTATTTATCAGCATACCGTATAACGATTCCCGAAATTCGGAAATTTGATTTTCTGTCGGCGCATCCCTGACAGCTAATTTGTAGTCATTATTTCAAAAAATACAAAAATTCTCCTAAAACCTAAGAATAAATATAAAATTAACATGTGGCGAGGCTAGGAAAGGTTAGAGATTAGTTTAAGATCTAAGTGTTGGGATTCATACGTTGATTTTTGCCAGAGCTATTTTTTATTTTGGAGCGTCTTTTCATATTAAAAGTACTTGATATAGAAGCTCACTCCATGTAAGAATCCTTCCATATATGAAGCTTCATAGTTTTTAAATATTTATAGATTGAAAAATAAAATGAATAAAAATTATTTTAAAAATTAACATAAAAAAATTTTAAAAATTAAATTTAAAACGAGCATTTTTTATTTCAAAATTTAATTTTAAATTAATATTCATTCAAGCTTTTTTTTAATTATTTTTTGATAATCTTAAAAAAATATTTTTAAAGCATTCCTGAATTTTATTAGGCCATTTAAAATTTATGAATAAGCATTTATTTAATTTAAAATTTTTTATAAATTTATTTTTTAATTCTATTTTCGTTTTAGAATTTACTCAATCGGATCTCTAAATAAGATACACCTTAAAGGCTTAAAATTTAGAGAAAAACATTAATAAAAGGGGATTTATGTATTTTAAGAAGGGATGATGGATGTATCTTATATAGAGGTCCGACTGTAATTTTAAGAAAAATAGTTATTCAAAAATAAAATGCAAAGAATTTTTTTGTTTGCGGCGTTGTTCTTGTGTATATTTCTGTTTTTTGACGTTAGATTTTGTTTATTAAAAAATTAATTTGGATTTTGCAATGCCCTGGGGCTTTAGGTCTCAACCATGTGGCTTACTTAGGCGTAGGCTTATTAGGGTTTCTTTCAAGGTACGTGGTATCAGTAGTATAAAGATGATTATCGTACAACCTTATTAGTTGCCCTCTCTCAAATAATTACACCACTTCCATTAATTACCCCATCCAACGATTAACTGAAAAAATAATTACCCCCAAATAAATGCCCTAAAACACGTTTAAATTACAAACCTCGTATAATTACCCTCCCTCGATTAATTACTCCCTCCAACAGAAGGTCGAAACAATAATTACCCAGAGTACTTATGGTTGACCGGGAGGGACACGGACCGGGAAAACTGGAATTCTCGTTCCCGGTTTCAGTCCTGTTGCTTCAAAAAAACGGGAAAGGGGACCCGAGAACCAGGAAACGGGACCCGTTCCGATCTCTAATATGTACTAGAGTAGCTGGACTTTTACCAACCAGACATCCTTTGAGGTTTCTTTAAATTTATATTTAAATATTTAAGAATAGTAAATTTGCTTTTGCTTCCCCATTGGAAAGTCGAGAGTACAGTCAGTAAGTCTTATCAACTATTAAAATTTAAAAAATAAATTATTAATTGAAGTCATGCTCACCCACCGGCTTATAATTGGGATTTGAACAAGATAAAGTCTTGGGATGAAAGTGGTGGTCCTGGTATATTAAGATTTTAATTTTATTTAAGGATATTTGGAACAACCTTAAATTAAAGAGAAAAAAGAGAAATCAAAAAGAAAAATTTTATTTTACAAAAAATTAAATTTATTTGAATAAAAAAACAAATTTTTTGAATAATGTAAAATAAAAACTCAACTTATTATTGAACATGAAAAAAGCGAATGCTAGTATATAATTTTTTAAAATCGTTTCATTAAAGAAACTTATCATTTATTTAATGCTATTTTTTGTCATTTACGGATTTCTGATTTTGAACTTGTACAATTACGATCATCAATCAGTTTATAGCCCGAAACACGAAACTCGGCATTTTTTGTCCCGATATCCGAAAAAAAATTTTCCAACCCGAAAACCTTTTATGGCGCGTGGTGTAATGGATAACATATCAGTCCAATCTGCTGAAGAACTCTTAAAACAAAAGAATAAATAAAAATTGACACATGGCAATAAAGATATTATTACAAACTAAAGGTAAAGATTATCTACTACTCTAATTTGGCAGCGTTTTTATTATTTAAAAATAACTCCCCAACTATATGTTATTGAGCGTGTTCACTTTAATTTAGTGTTGGCAAATATTTTTTCATGAGGTATGTAGTTTGTA